CCTAAAGAAATGGATTTTTAAAGGTGACAAATATAAAGTATAACATAGAAAGCTTAAGAGCACTCCAGCAAATTGTGGTACTCTTTAGCAATTGAAGATCTTTTAGCAAGAACAAATGTGAACAGGGCGCCAAAAAGCCTTGCTTAGTGCGTTTACAAATGCATTCGGCTCCCGGCTTGGAGAAACACGCTGTGGCTTCTCCCGCACGCCGGTCCGCTTGAAACATGGGCAACTCGTGTGGCGGAAGGGCGGACCCGCCAGCGTGCAGTCTGAAGGACGTCGATGGAATTTTCGTGGGTCTAGCGGGCACAAACATCATCTGGCAGCTCCCTGCGAGGACCGCGGTTCACGTGTGTGAGTGCGGCGCCCCGTCGTGTACCCAGAGACACGCGTGTGTGCCTGGTCCCCTGGTCTTTTGTTACATGCGCATTAAAGTCCAGCCTGAAGCTAAGAAACGTGAAAGACTTTCATCAGAGGCTGGGTCGTTCAGTCAACACCAAAACTGCTCGTACAACCCCTGAAGAGGGCAAAGAGAGTGAAATATGTTTCAGAAAGAACGACCCACAAATGTATTCCCAGGACCTTAATCCCTTTTGGGTGGGTCTGGTTTTTCCTTCCAGGATCAACAGGGCCACTTAGTATAATGGCCCACCAGGGAGCAGGTTGTCCAGGGAGCGGAGGCTGCTGCTGTGAGGTGCACATGGCCAGTTGGCACCTGCATTAGGAACAGGCGCCTTACAAAGGACAAATTAGTGAGAATACATTATTTGGAAAACAAACGATACCAATAGGTTTTTCAACTTGTTTAAGTTTCCACGAGAAGGAATACATACTGTACAAATAACATGAGTTCAAGAAGGCATCGTGTCCAAACACCATTCAATAGGGATGCCTGTGCACAGAGCATGACTGCCAGTCACTATCCCCTTTTATGAAACTTCAACAAGAATGCAAAAAGTAGGCCAAGGCCAGAGTAAGGCCACTTGTAAAAGGGACAATGTTCCTTCTTAGTTATCTTGAAGAAAAATGAATATTTAAAAAGTATGAGGGCCAGGCATGGTGGCTCATGCCTGTAATCCCAGCACTTTGGGAGGCTGAGGCAGGTGGATCACCTTCGAGGTCAGGAGTTCAAGCACCAGTCGGGCCAACCATGGTGAAACCCTGTCTCTCACTAAAAATAATCAACAATTAGCTGGTGGTGGCTGGTGCATGCTTGTAATCCCAGCCTACTCGGGAGGCTGAGGCAGTAGAAAACTGTTTGAACCCACCAGGTGGGGGTTGCAGTGAGCCAAGATCACAGCCACGGAGCACTGCAGCCTGGGTGACAGAGCGAGACTTGGTCTCAAAAAAAAAAAAAAGATATGAGGACCTGGGAAAACAAACTAGATGCCACAGAACGGAAGCGAGTGAGGTCTCACTTTCAATTCTGAACCACATGAGGCCACCGCACAACAAAACCACGATGTCGGAGGCTGGGGACTGATGCTCCACAACTACTGATCAGCAGACTAACACAATATTTTTTTCATGAAATCTCTTCATCCTCTACTTCTAAGATCCACTGAGAAATGGAAAAATGAGAAACTGGACCCATACATGAAGGCAAAAGCAGAGGTACAGACGTGCAGAAGCAGCCGTACCGGCTTCTGGGTCTATACATACGTCTGCTGGCTGCCCGCCCCTCACCAGGCTGGGCAGCTGCCTCAGGGACAGTCCCCATTGGGGAGTCACAAGAAAAGCCCAAGTGAAGGCTGCAGAGACGCCCTGCAGGTCCCCACAAGTCCCCACACGGGAGCCACAAAGGCCACCCCCAAGTCCACATCCACCACGGGGGAGCACAGGAGCTACCCCTGGGTCCCACACATCCACCACAGGGAAGCGCCAGGGCCACCCCCATGGGGGAGCACAGGCCACCCCAGGTCCCCACACCCCATCACAGGGGAGCCACAGCAGCTACCCCGGTCCCACACGCCACCACGAGGGGAGGCGCAGTGGGGGCCACCCCCAGGTCCACACCCCACCACAGGGGAGCGCAGGGGCCACCCCGCGGTCCCCCACCCAAACCACGGGGGAGCACAGGGGCCACCCCCGGGTCACACCGCACCACGGGGGAGCGCAGGGCCACCCAGGTCCACACCCACCACGGGGAGCAGCAGGGGCCACCACGGTCCGCACACCCACCAGGGGAGCAGGGCCACCCCCGGTCCCCACACCCACCAACGGGAGCACAGGGCACCCCCAGGTCCCACACCCACCACGGGGGAGCGCAGGGGCCACCCCGGGTCGCACACCCCACCAACGGGGGAGCACAGGGCCACCCCGGGTCCCCCCAACCCCACCACGGGGCAGGCACAGGCTACCCACGGGGTCCCACCACCCACCACGGGGGAGCACAGGGGCCACCCTTTGACCAGGGTTCTCACTGGCGGCACAATGGCAATGCCGGAGCCCAGGTATACCTGAGTCCCCAGAGGGTCACAGGGTCCACCATGGGTGCTACTCAAACCTACACAGTAATGCCAGACTGACAGGGCTGACTCAGCTCTCGTCACTGTGAAAGCAAGTGTCAGGAACAGAACATGGGCAGAGTGGTGTGAAGAGCCACTCCTCATACACACCTGGTAGAAATGGGTCAATATTCGCAACTGTGAGCACATTTTCGGTATAGATTCTTTAAATTCTCCAATCCTCTTATTTTCCTCCTCTTCCTCTGCTGCCGTCACTCCCCACTGGCCCTGGAGCATCAAAAGTACCAAACGTAAGTAAAATCACGATGGAAAACAGGTTACAGAGTAGGGCTGAAAACAGGTATGTGAGGAGCGGGAGGTGTCTGCTTTTTATGCCTCTCTGTACCGTTCAATACTTTCACAATAATTTTCTGATGCCAGACTGCTCTCCAGTTTACTTTTTCCAGTTAACAATGTATCTTGAAAATATTTCATATGAACACATTTGAGCGCAGAGAACTGCCTCTGTTGTTTTTAATATCACATTGTATAACGTGTAACAATGTATATCGTTCATCTCATTTAGTGTGATGTAAACAGCCTTCTATCCTTCCCTTGTGCTGTACACGTTTTTATACAACAAAGACAGTATGTGTGAAAGTGGAACCAGCTGGCTCAAAGTGTCCGCACCCTTTAAACTATGATCTTGACTTTAATGAGAATGCTTCTAGTTCCCCAACCATGATGTATTTTTCAGTACTGGAGATATACCCATTTATTTCTATTTTTAAGATCATTTTCAATCAATGATGAATTTGACTAAATGTCTTCTCAGATAGCATATATAGGAATTTTTTTTTTTTTCTTTTTTTGAGGTGGAGTTTCACTCTCCCAGGCTGGAATGCAATGGCGTGACCTCAGCTCACTGCAACCTCAGCCTCCTGGGTTCAAGTGATTCTTCTGCCTCAGCCTCCCGAGTAGCTGGGATTATAGGCATGAACCACCATGCCCGGCTAATTTTGTATTTTTAGTAGAGACGGGGTTTCACCATGTTGACCAGGCTTGTCTCGAACTCCTGACCTCAGGTGATCTGCCCGCCTCGGCCTCCCAAAGTGCAGGGATTACAGGCAGGAGCCACCACTCCCAGCCATGATTTAATTCGCTTGTCAAATACGGTGAATTATACTACTGGATTTCCCAAACCTACGCATTCCTGAAATAAATCCTAGTCTTTGTAAATTACGCTTTTAAATTCTGCTAGCCATTTTTCAATTATATTTTATGTGAAATTTCTCCATCAATATTTATAACCCAGATTTGTTTTTTCTCAGATAGGGCATCAGCCTCGTGATGCTTCCTACACAAGTTAGAAACTCTCCTTTTCTGACTTGGAACAATTCACAGAGCACAAAGCTGACCACTGGTCCGTTTGGGAGGCTTTCTCAGCACGGCTGACCTGATGCTTTTTGGTGGGAGCCCTTCGACGGCTTTGTTTCTTCTTTAGTATTTGTCCCGCTTACAATTTCCCTTCTCTCATGGGGCCAATTTCGGAAACCTATGGAAAATGATTTCCTTCAAGTAGATTTTTTCCACAGAGCTGAGCAAAAGAGTATGTTCTTTTCACTTGTTTTGTAAGTTTGTGCCTTCTCCTCCCACTACCTCTCAGATTCCTTCATGGCTTAATTTCCCTCCACTCCTTGGCCCCCAAAAAGGCCCAGCTCTTGGACTTTATTAACTTGTTTTCTGATTCACTAATTTTCACTTTCATCTTTACTAATTATGTCCTTTGGCTTTTTCTTTAGGTTTCATTCCTGCTTTTCCAACTTTTTGAGTGGGATGTTTATTTACTTTCATTCTCTCCAATTTATTAATATAGGCAGTTACGAATTTTCATATTTTCTTATTTATGTGCATTTTATCTTCCATAGTCTGTAAGAAACTGATTATTTGTCTAATATCCATGTGTTTTGACCCATTTCTCCTTGTTTGCTGGTGGTTTTCTAAGTGAGTACTGATACGGCATGACCTGGGCCTTGCAGGAAGCCTGCTCTGCGTGGTCCTCACTGTGCCCTGCTCCTCCCATACCCACCACCGGCAATCCGCGACACGCCTTCCTGGCTGGTTTAAACTCGTTTTGTGCATCCTGCGTGGTCCTCACTGTGGCCCTGCTCCTCCCCACCCACTGCATCGCGCCTTCCTCGCCGTGTTACTCGGCCTGCTCTGCCGTGGTCCTCCACTGTGCGCCCTGCCTCTCCAACCACTGCACTCGCGCCCTCCTGCTGTGTTTACTGCCCTGCCTCTGCG